GCCCAGTCACGCTCAGAAGAAAAATACTATAATATAATATAATATAATTTAATATAATATAATACAATATAATATAATATAATATAATACAATATAATATAATATAATATAGTATCCCATGCTTGTGCCCAGATTTAGACTTTGGGTGTCTAGGGGGTCTTTGCAGCATAAGGGCTGCCTTGCTTAGCCGCGCGTTGGTGTGGTTCTCAGTCTGTCGACGCACTTTTGCCTCTCAACTTGAGTTTAGCGATGGATTTGGACTTACTTCTGCATCTTTCCGCGGTTCCCGTATGACCTCCGCTCTGTTAGCTCTGTGTTGGGCCGAAGATGTTAGGCACCGGATCATTGATCATGAGCCAGCTGGGACCGGCTCCTCTTGTCAGAACTTTTGCTAGGAGATCGAGATGACGATCGCCATGTGCCTCAACAGACAGGGCAAGAAAGAGGAGGCCGAAGACGGAATGGGTTTTGCAAGTTTGTTGGAAGGGACGGTACCAGACTGCTACTTAGTCACAGGGGTCCGGGTTTATAGAGGCCCTAAACCCCTAAACCCCCAAACCCCTCAACCCCTAAACCCCTAAACCCCTAAACCCCCAAACCCCTAAACCCTAGACGCCTAAACCCCTAAACCTCCCTAAACCTCCCAGTCTCAGATTCGCGAGGCCTTGGAAATCCTGCGCGAGGTCCGCCGCAACTCTGGAAGCCGCGAGCGGAAGGCCGAAACCGCCCCTTTTGTATTATATTATATACTATCATACTATATTATATAATATTTTCTGTTATATTATATTATATTATATTATATTATATTATATTATATTGTATTAGATTATATTATATTGTGTCATATTATGTTATATTATGATATATTATGTTATGTGATATTGTATTATATTGTACTATATTATATTATATTATACTATATTATATTATATTATATTATATTATATTATATTATATTATATTATATTATATTATATTATATTATATTATATATTATTATACTATATTATATTATATTATATCATATTATATTATATTACACTATACTGTACTGTATTATATTATATTATATTATATTATATCATATTATATTGTATTACACTATACTGTACTATATTATATCATATTATGTTATATCATATTATATTATATTACACTATACTGTACTATATTATATTATATTATATTATATTATATTATATCATATTATATTATATTATATTATATTATATTATAGTATAGTATATTATATTATACTGTACTATGTTATATACAGAAAGTGTGTGTGTATATATATATATATGTATATAGACGGTGTTCAGGAAGCCCCTCAGCCCCTGAGCCCTGAAACCCACAACCATAAAATACTGTAAAAATACACCTATCGTCTCCAAGCCCCCCAAAATCCTAAAACCCTACGCCCGAGCACAGGGTCTAAACGCTGTGTCCGTGGAACTCTGCTGACGGATTTCACCCATCCATAGGGTCTAGGGTTTCAGGGTGTAGGGCTTTGGGTTTAGGGTTTAGTATCGGGAGCCCTTGGGGCCACACTCCCGTAACCAAGCAGGACACGTGATGTTTGGAGGCTCACTTTCGTCCTCTTACTTAAGTTATTGATCCTTCGTGTCTTGTTTGACATTGCAGAATATTAGCTCCTTGGTTCAAGGTTTACAGTCTGTAGCTCAGGGGTGCAGCCTGGGCTTAGAAGTAAAGCTCTACAGTCCAAAGTTTCGGATTGGTGGTTAGGGCTCGGGGTTTAAACTTTAATAACCAGTCAGTCTCTGGCGCAAGTAACATGGAGACTTGAACAACACGGTGGGGACTGAGGGCTATCGCGAGCTAGGGAAGGGTGGGAGTTTGGGATTCGCGGCGGCTGGGGGTTAGGAGCGTCTTGTAGGAACCTAAAGGGGGAGTGTTGGAAAGGAAATGTGAAGCAACACCCTTTAACCCTAAACCCTAAACCCTCACCATACTCTGCGCCGTCTCATGCAAGGGGCAGGACCCAAGTCCAGACAGATTCAAGGTGCCTCAGCACGGGCGCAGGCTAGAACATCTCAAAAATTCCCCAAGAATGGTTAAATCATTCCTTGTCGGTACCCAATTGGCTGAGCTCAATGCTAGTCTGAAGCAAACCATGAAACTGGGCCAACATCGCCCTGTTTTGGGTCTTGGGGGTTAGGGTTTTTAGCAAAGCCATCCGTTCTCGTCCCATCGCACGTCAGCGGTGCAAGCGGCACCTTGCATCTCGGAACCTTTGCGCGAAACCCTAACCCCCTCAACCCCTGAACCCTAAACCCTAATCCCTACACCATAAAACCCGAAATCCTAAACCCTAAAACCCTAAATCCTAAACCCGAAATCCTAAGCACCAAAACCCTTAAGCCTACACCCCAAAACCCTAAATCCTAAACCCTAAAAGCCCTGACTGGACTCGGGGGCTAGTGGTTAAGGGTTTGGGGTTTAGGGTTTGGGGTTTAGGCACAGGGTTTAGGGTGTAGGGGTTTAGGGTTCAGGGGTTTAGGGTTTAGGGGTTTAGGGTTTGGGGGATTAGTAGCTGTCTTCCTTTTTCAGAACTATTCCATATTTGCAATGTCTACGATATTTCCCCTAAACCCTCAACCCTCAACCTAAACCCTAAACCCTAAACCCTAAACCCTAAACCCTAAACCCTAAACCCTAAACCCTAAACCCTAAACCGTGCCGGAGCCCATGGCCGATGTCCGCCAGGATTCGGAGATTTATGCTTCAAGAGTT